GGATCCCTTGCCTAAGTACAGACTCCCAGATCTGCTTGGAGGATTTTAAATGTGGATTTAATATGTCCATCTATTATTTTTTTAACCTATATCTGATGCCAGTTAAAACGCAATTAAAGCCTAAAGAAGCAAACGCATGCAAAACCGTTCTAACCATTGGGTAGCATTCATTTTAAGGTTCTCTGTACAACATCTTATCTTCGCTGTGATGTTCGGAAAGGCGCTGACCTGTATTTGCCTCTCCATTCCTTCACCCTGCAGGTGGAGGCTGGCTCCACCTGTGCCGTGTTTGGCCTGGGGGCGCTGGGTCTTGCAGCTATTATGGGCTGTAATGCAGCCGGGGCAGCCAGGATTATTGGAGTGGATCTCAACCCGGACAAATTTAAAACTGCTAGAGAGTTTGGTGCCACAGAGGTGGTGAACCCGAAGGACCACAGCAGGCCGATCCAAGAGGTCCTGGTGGAGATGACAGATGGAGGCGTGGACTACTCCTTTGAATGCGTGGGCAATGTGGCAATAATGGTGAATTATACAATATTATTAACCATTCCTTTTCCCTTCATCTCTGCATGCTGAGTAAACACAAGAATCCTTGAATATGGCTTTATTGACAGTGCTTTATAAAAAAACATATTTCCATCTATCTGCAATTTTTAATAAAGACAGACAAGTACACATTTTAAGTTCCATTACTTTTGGATGACCTCAATATCAAAGGCAGTGCTAATAAATAAAAGAGAAACATATATTAAAATAAGATGTTTTTTTACTTAAGTGTATTATGTAAGAAAACATAACAATGTAACCTTAGAAAGAAAACAACTAGATTTTTCTGTAACAAAAATATGTCCTCTGCTCTCTGATAGGAAAACCTGTCTTTTTATTAAGCATATTCAGGCAGTAGTCTGTAGACCAACAATAAAACACATAAGCAGATTTCATAATTTCGCTTCGCAAGCCTGTATTTATAAAATATAAAAAATGTATGTTATTTGGAGTTACTATCCCCTGTAGCTGCAATAGCAGATGGCTGAACAACCAGAGTAACTGCCAAAAACAAAATGGAGTTTCCTGTAATCTTGGTAGTTGCTAGGCTTGAAGGTAAAGAAGCAATTCAATTGTCTGTGTGAAAACTGCACCAATATCATTAGATTAGTTTTTACAATAAATACTTCTATTAAATATGATATACATTTAGAATTCAGATTCAGTGTCTTTTAATACAATTATATTCTTGGCAATGTCCAGATAAATTAGGGTGATGTTGTGGTAGCAGTCTGGTTTGGCTTGGATCAGGTTGAGGTCATACTGTCTGTCTGATATTGTGTCTTGGTTGCAGAGAGCTGCCCTGGAGGCCTGTCATAAAGGCTGGGGCACTAGCGTCATCATCGGGGTGGCAGCAGCCGGACAGGAGATCTCAACTCGGCCCTTCCAGCTGGTGACCGGACGCACGTGGAAAGGCACTGCTTTTGGGGGTAACAAGCTGCTTGTTCTTAGTCTGATTTTTCTTGAGATGTGAATGGGTTTCTAATTCATCATATTAGACAAAAATGCGTCGCCTGAAATTCCAAACGGACACCTGGCACTACAGTCACAAACAGTTCTCATGTACCCTTTTCCAAACGAGGCAGTCCCATGGCCAGATCCTGATGTAGAAAAAGTGTTCCTAGTTACCACTGCAGAGGTGCCGGCCTTTGGCCCCAAAAGTTAGTTAAACTTGGGCAACAAATATTTGCCTGAGTGGCCTGAGATAAGCCGAGAGCTGCATATCGGAGACCTAAATCAGAGGCTGGGGCTTAATTCACGTTAGCAACAAAAATGTATGGCGAGTACATTGCAGAGTAGCAAGTTGTTGGAGTATAGTAGAACGTTGTTTAAGAAGTTATCTAATTGCATTAACGACAAGAGTAAAGAGTAACATATTTCAGAAGTTAACGTCAGAGGCTGGAACTGGATTTACATGTCAGTTCATGGCAAGTACGACAAAGGAAAGAATGTCTTTCATAAGCCTAGAAAGTTTGTTCTGCTTTTCATTTCCTTTGGTTTCGTAAGTATAAGAGAATCAGGAACCCAGCTCCAACGCAGTATGCAACTTGTGCTTCGAAATGGAAACAAGGCCATCCAAAACTCTAACTCCAGCATGGAATTTGAACTGGACTCTTTAGTGGAAAGGGGTATGGCCCATAATGCGCGTTGCAAACAAGTCTATCTACCTTCACATTTTTTGCAAGAAGTGCTTTTTGACCCAGAGTTGTAGTCTTGCTGCTTTAAGCATTAACACTTGTTCTGACAGGTCAGAAGAAGAAATGACATTCTGTGATCTGCCCTGTCTATAGCCTCTAGTGATGGAACCCCTGCATTTATTTTCTGTACTTTAATGAGCTATTTCACACTTTTCCCAGGATACAAGAGTGTCGACAGTGTTCCAAAACTTGTTGAGGAGTACATGAAAAAGAAGCTCAAAGTGGACGAATTTGTGACTCACACTCTGCCCTTTGAGAAGATCAATGAAGGGTTTGATCTCATGAATGCTGGGAAATGGTAAGCCTCAGTTTAAGATGTATTTTGAATCTGTTTGTTCTGTTAACGTGAGGATTTAGGCCCCATTTACACGGGAACGCAAACAAAACGCAAACGAAGCAAATTCGATATCAAAAAAGTCTTCCGTTCACACGGATACGGCTCAATAAACGTGTCCCTTCACACAAGACCGCTCGACCCGCTGAAGACGCTGTAGTACATATGCCGGGCCTGTAAGTGGCGCTGTACTTCCGCCACAAAATACACCAAAAGCAGCGAAGAAGACCCAGAGCATGGTTGCCATGGTTGCCTGGTAGCCCTTCTGTTTATTCTCCGCAGTGGATTTAGCAACATCTAGTTCATGTAGTTCTCCATGTCCACTTGTTGCTGATGGTTGTGGTAGAGGAGCTGTAGATTTTGCACTAACATCTGTAGCATGGTCAGTAGCAGTAGCAGTAGCTACTGACCATGCTACAGCAGTGAGCAGCAGAGGTGGGGAGAGGCGGGGCTATGGCTTCATCGTTATCAGGAAATTATCGTATAGGACGTACACACGGAGCCGTTTGGCCCCCCAGAGCGTTCCGTCCGCAGATCTATCCACCTTGGGACCCGTTATCGTTTTAGGGGTCCGTTTCCGCGTTTCCATTAAGGCCTCGTGTGAAGGAACGAAAGAGAAAAGTAGCGGATACAACCCGTTTTGTTCCCGTGTAAACAGCACCTTAGTGTCCCTCTGGGTTTTGTCTGTTGAGAATGTAATGCGTCACTGCTGCCCTCTGTTGAGGACAAAGCTGAGATGTGATGAGACAGGGTTTCATAATAGATTGCACCATGAGGTCTCTTTTCAAATAGGAGTGCTAATTAAATCACAAATGTCATGAACCTTAATCTAATCCAATTTGAATCTTTTCAGCATTCGCGTCGTCCTTCAGTTCTAGATGCACAGAAGCCCAGGAAACCATGATCGCACTCCAAGTTTACCCTGCTCTGTTGAATAAATCTTTCAGTTCCCTCTTCATGTGTGTCTTATTTGAACAATACAACTTCTGACACTTCTTTGATCAGCGTCTCGCCCCTGAAAGAACACACACACGAGAGAGAACATTGTGGAAAGGAAAAAGAGAGGTAACAAAACAAGATTATTCTTTGATCTAGACTGAATGAATAATAAGACTATACAACTACAAACAACCAAATGGCATCAGTGTTGAAAGGTTGTTAATCTATGATGATTCTTCAAGTGGATCTTTGCGATAGCAGCTTGGACATCAAGGCCCGATGAAGCTGTGGAAAGTGAAACAAGCCTTCTGAAACACTCGCAAAACATCCTTTGATTATTCTCCCTGTGGGGTTTGAGAACAAGGCTGCTTTAAAAGTTTTCACTGTAAACGTTAGTGTCCCTCCCAAGCTTGGGTGATGCTCTTTAGTTTCCAAAATGTAGACTTCAACTGGGTTGGACTTGAGAGAATAGCTACAGCAGCTTGTACTCAGCCATGTCGGACTCAGTTAGGCGGAACATGTTTCCCCATCAGCTCAGTTCTTGCTCTGTAGCTAGAACACAGAGCCAAAGTAAGTGTTCCTCCTCAGTTGTTTGTGGTGATGAACAATGTGTGCTGTCTGTTGGGCAGATGTATAAAAGGACACATTATGTTGAAATGGACAATGTGCCTTTTTGCTTGATCGACCTCAAAGTAATTGATTTTAAATGTATTTCTTCAAAACACACATTTTGACTTTGATGTTCCATTTGTTGGATATGAAGTGAGGTTTTTTGTAAGGTTAGGATCGATGATACTAAATGTTAGAAGGAGCGTTCAGACTTCCAATTGTAGTCCAAGAAGTATTGACCAATCACGTTCACGCGGGATTTGGTTGAACACGGGTAAATAATTGTGCGGGGAGCAAAAGAGGCGGAACGCATTTCCCGTTATTGCACTCAAGGTACTTTTGACTTTAGTCTGACAATAATTTAGCTTTCGATCAGCTAAAAAATAAACATCTGGTTCACGTTGTCTCATTACGCCATCTTTGCGTCTCAGGATGATAATCAAACTGTGAACAATGACCACGAGAAAGGAAGTATTGGCCCAATAGACCGGTGAGTCCTGGGATTGAGATTGGAGCACTCAAACTGGTCAATGCAGCTGCACTTTTTCTGTTACGACAATTGGAAGTGTCTTGCCGTCATACATTTGTACCATTGTTGTTGAGGTGCTTTGGCGGTCCTGATTTATAATCTAACAGCAGTTTACTAATTCATTCTGCTGAAACTACCATTTACTACTGTCCGGGGCAATAAGGTACTCTGTATTTATCACTGCAAACTACATACTAAAATGGGCCTATAGAATCATATGTGTGCAGGAGAACCTTCATTTTGACTTTATGAATAAAATGGTTCACTGAAGAAAAAAAGGCAGTAATAAAAGTCATGAATAATTAAGCTATTAGATCATTTAAAGGAGAAACTCGCACACAAGAGCTACAGAAGAGTCATTTATTACTCCATTAGAAGAAATACAAAGATGGCAGAGAAACTGTGATCACATTAGTCCTCTGAAAATAGAAAGAATGCTGCTCTCACCGGGAAAACCCCTATGTGGAGATGAATGGTGACCGTAGAGACAAGGGGAAACACCAGGTAACTTTCCGTGAGATATCCAGCATGTTTTAATTCCTAGACTTACACATTAAGGCTCGATTTGCTACAGCAGGGCTCTAGAAAACACGAAACACTAAAGGAGTTTTCCTCAGATTAACAAGCTCAGCGCTTCAACAACTGTGTGCTCAATGTCATTTCTCTCATTCTCAATATCTATGAAGATACTCTGGTTGCATCACACTTCTCCTAGCAACCGTGGCTGACGTAATCTACTGAAAAAGTTCCGACTGCACTAATAACCATAGCCACATTCAGGATGTAACAATTGAGTGCTTCTAGTGGACACGTCACCAGGTAAATAAGACAGTGAGTGTTTCTCTGGTACTGAGATTGAATACCCAGCAAGCAGGCATGACGCAATAAGTCAATTGATGGTTGTACTTTTACAAACCGTACAGAAATGAGTTTATATGCTATTTTTTTTTGACAAAATCCACCTACCAGCACATCAAAATATCACTTATTAACATGTTACATCTTGTTTGTTAATCCAAACAGAAAACCAATTGTAAAAACCACAAATCAAGTTTTTTTTGTTTAAATTCTGAGCTTTCGAGGTGCTGGAAGGTATTTTGTTTTAAAGAGCTGGTCCAGGTGTTTTCTCCAGCTTCAAGTATTTATGCTAACCGTCTCCTGGTTGTTGCTACATTTTTAATGGACACCAAGGTGTATTGGTCTTCAACCAAATCTGCCAAGTGTATTTTTATAACATCAAACTACTGCTTTAAATTTAGGCTGTTTGGCTCTTGGCAGAGAATGACTTTTGTTGCCTGTACTCTAAACTAAATATAGTACGCTTTATGGCCCGGAGTTATTTTCTATATCTAAAATAAGTTGTTGAGGTTTTGAGAGTTGTTAACCCTGGGAACCCTCCTCGGTCTCTAGTATTGCTGATTCTTTTCAGTCCATCTCTGGGGGAAGTGTGAAGTGAGCAGAGGCTGAGAGAGAAAAGAAGCACGTTGTTACTAGTGTATCTGCCCTGAGCACCACACACACCACAGACAACAACTAGCCAGCCAGTAACAAACTCTGGGTGACATGACAGGCCACTAAGCAAAACCATATCTCATAAATACGTTCCTTCAGAGGATACAGTTTTCACTAATAAAGCGTTTGATATAAGACACATTCAAGTACTTCCATTTATTTCAAGGATATTTAATTCAAAGAACAATGAGAGCGGCAGTTAAACTGAGCTCTAGGAGTGGTGCTTCTTGTTTGTAATATGTGTGAGTGTGTATGTGTGTATGTGTGTGTGAGGCCCAGAGGGTGTCTTGTGTTCTGGAAAAGTCCAGTCCTTGGATGCGTGCGAGTCTACACTTGGTTGAGGAAGTGAGCGCGGCCGTTGTCCTCCATGCGGCGGGTGAGGATCTCGCAGCCGGTCTCCGTCACCAACAGGGTGTGTTCGAACTGAGCAGAGCGCTTCCCGTCTCGGGTCACTGCCGTCCAGCCGTCGGGCCACGTCTCGTCTTGCCAGCCACCTGAGACATGACACACTCACAGATTTAGCTTACACAGCATCAATTAAACAAAGCTGTCAAAACCAACACTTGGAGCCTGACTCACTGGACACCTGTGAGGGTGATTTAAAGCATGGCTGGGTCTGCTCAATTACACATTAAACCTCTTGTTGTGGAAAAACTATTGGATCCCTTCTACTTTTAAATACTAGCCGAAGTATTAACAACCAAATGCACTTAAAAGTATTACAATGTGTTTGTCAATTTTAAATACTTCTAACTGTGATAATACTAATAATATATTTTTAGTTAGTTTTCATCGTCAATATCTTTACTATAACTTAGAAACCTCTATATATATTGTAATATACACATTTTCACTTAATAGTTAAATATTGTAGAATAATGTGCACATTTCTACTCATCTTCCTATGATCATATAATTATCTTTATTCTATTTCAACTCATGGATAATTTTTACTTTACCTTCTTGTGATTATATAAATATATTTTATTTTATTTTAATAAACAAGAATTCTAAAATGGAGCAAGAAAACAGTATAATTAAAGTATTGTGATTATAAGAAATGTAGATTAGTCTGTTTTACCAACTAACTTGCCATGAGACTGTTATATGTCTATCCTGAAAAATGTGTGTCTCAAAATTCACACAACCTGAAGAATGAAAGGTTAATTTCTAGGTCACCACCATTCGCCAAGACAAATAGACCATATAAAACCCTTATAATGTATGTGTAAAATGCATTGTGACAAAGCTGAAATCATTTTCCTTACTTATGAAAGCCTACATAACAGGTTTTCTGGAGGACAGCGTGTTTATGTTTACTCTTTATTCTTCAATATTTGTTTCAAATAATTGCTACAATTGAGCACATTGAGTAATGTGAACAATTATGATAATTGTAACGTCACAAACAAAGGCAGTACCACTCACCTTCACATATCATGGGTTCAATGGTGAACACGTGGCCAGGCTTCATAACTCCCACTGCTTTGTTTTCTGGGAAACATTGAATAAATAAATCATTCTTTTGTACGAGAGCAAGCAACAAAACAACCTTCATACATTTAAGACATGTACGATGGCAGGTGTGTGACTACTCACTGGCATAATGTGGCACATTGGGAGCAGTGTGGAAAAGTCTATGGATGCCGTGGCCGCAGTAGCTGCGCACCACAGAGAAGCCGTTAGCTTGAGCGTGCTTCTGTATGATGTTCCCTAATTCTCTGTAGCGGATACCAGGCTTCACTGTGAAAAAAGGTTAGCATGAGGGTTATCGGTAGGGATGCAAAAAAACCCAAAAACATTTAGATTATTGATTCATCAGCAGATTTCTAGACCAATTGTTTGGTATATAAAATGTCGGAAAATTGTGATAGTTTTCAAGTCCAGCTGTCAGAGCTGCAGCAAGTGTTGACTATTCCTGTAGCCTAACAAAACGTAACTGTAGTTAAAACAATTCCGGGGCTGACAATTAACAAAAAGAAAATCTTGTAATGAGTGTACCAATTGGAAAAACAACATTTATAATGACCAATAACTTTGACTTGAATTTGTTCAATGTAAACTTAATAAAAGTTGGTATTAAAAGTTAATTGTGGCCCTTGGAGACAGGTCCCAAACAGTTAAATACTGTTTCAAAGTTCAGAAATAACTTTAAATATCAACTTCTTCTGGAATATCAGCGCTCTCTTGTGGACAAACTATGTAAGAGTGACACCTTTTAGAAATGTACAGTTCTGAACCGCAATTCTTGTTATTTGACATATATGCTGATACCGACATCTTATTATACTCCACACAGACTGCACGACTCTATACAAATGCAGTAAGGTGGGTTTACTTCCGTCTCCCTGTTCGAGCAGGATTCTCTGTGCACACATGGGTTAAGAAATAAGAAAGCTGGAATTCCTACCGGAGTCGATGGCTTGCATAAGGCATTCATACGTGGTCTGCACCAGTTTCTTCGCTTCTTCCTCCACCTCGCCCACATAGAAGGTTTCATTGAGGTCACCATGGAAACCGTTGTGGTAGACGGTGATGTCCACTGTGTAAGAATGAGCGCCATTGTGTTACAAGACAAATTGGATTCCATTATGTTTGACACAAACAAAGTACTGTCATGAATAACCTGAGATGTAATGGTATGAATGGGTGACCATGTTTTCTTTTAAGGCATCGACCAATAGAGTGGTGCAGTGAAGACGTATTTTTTTTAGGCCGACCCTGAAGTTAGTTAAAGGAGAGGTGTCATGGCCATTTCCACTGATCATAATTCCATTGTTGAGGTATACTAAAATAGATTTATACTGTGCATTTTTCCAAACTCACATTGGTTTCTCATACAGCATCTCTGTAAACTACTTGTATTCACTGAATTTCACTATCTGCCTTTAACGGCTCGTTGTAGCTCCCAAAGCTCCAGCCCCCACCCTCCCTGTGAGCACAGTGTGCTCTGATTGGTCGGGACGTTGTGAATCGCGCTGAGCTCCGTGGAGGTGTTGTTTCCTTGTTTAGGATACATAGTGAAACACAGCCAAACTCATCCTGAGCACACACAAACTCACATCCGAAGTAAAAACAATAAGTGTGGCTTGATATTGAGTAAGAAAAAGGTTGATAAACGCTGTGAGAATGGGTCTGCAGAGAGAATTTTGCCGCGATCCCAACTGTCTGTTATCAGCCTGCAGCCAGGGAGGAGAAATCAGCTGAGCTGCCTGCTCCCTGCACACAGATGTGTGCGTGAGGAAGTCCGTGGATTGGTCAATTTGGACCAATCAGCGGGGGCTTCACGTAGCGGCTCCGCGGACGTAACGTAACGGCTCCACGGATTGGTCCATTTCGTTCCGGGTACGGGTTGACATCATGCCGTCCCGGAAGAATCAAATGGACAATGACGTATCTCCAACGAGGCGTTTTGGGGAGGTATTTTCTGTGTTAGAGTTTTACTCGCTACAGGGTGTACTTTGAGGGTTTTGACTCTGCACACCGTTTACATGCATATGTAAACGGTGTGCAGAGTAATTTATTTACGACTTATAAAAGCTTCAGACATTAACAAGGGAGGTATTTATGAACATATTTTATGTTAATAGAACAAAAGGTGAAAATCTCTTCAGCTTGTGTTAACCAGAGACATCATTTCAGGCATCTAAGCAAAACACATACAAAAGCACGTTGTCTTCGAGACGAGGTAATCTGAAGTGGTAACATTCCTGGTTTCAGGACTCATTCCTGCACCACTCTATTATTAGATTATGTTTGGCATGTCCCCAGTTTACAGGAAACAGACAAGAGTACCAGCACACTACTTTTGAGATGAGGAACAGGAAGTGGTTAAATGCTAACTCATTTCCAGATTTTAGGACTCATTCCTGCATCATTCTATTTGCAAGGCCAAATTACTGATGAAAATGGAATTGCTAGAGGGCAAACTGGGACTCTTCCCACTTTAGGAGAAATATAGAGCAGAGGATCTGACAAGCACATCCCCACTGCTAAAGGTTGATGAAACTATTTGTCTTGTCGGCGCATGCAGCGAGAGATGAGTTGTTGGCCAGCGCTCCATCAGACACTCTGAGGGGGAGTGGCGGATGGAAGACATCGCCTTCGCAGAAATATTCATGAAGAGGCTAAAATTGGCCCAACTCCCGCTGTTACCATTTCAAGATGCTGGTACAACCATTTGTCAAGGCAGAGGAATCGGTTTTTTCCCCCCCACTCTTTAATAAAACATTTCCCTTCATCCTAACTTAGTTTTACCGTTTATAGGACATGGTTTCATATACAAAATGTTACAAAAGTAAGAAAATGTGGGCATTTAAAAACTTAAGGAAAGATTAGTGTTTGTTTGGTAGAGATCTTTCATATAAAGAGGTTCAGGATGGTCAAGAAACTCGTTATTTTAAGTCCAACATCAGTTATTTTTTGTTAATTCTAACAGATAAAAAGATAGTGAAGCAATCATGAGGAAACAGCTGTTGGTTACATTATTGGCATACCGTTGAGGATATCTCCGTCTTGTAAGGGTCTCCTGTCCGGGATTCCATGGCAGATGACTTCATTGACAGATGTACAGGAGGATTTAGGGAAGTTGTAGTAGTTGAGAGGGGAGGGGTAGCAGTTCCTCGCTATGCAGGCCTGAAAAGACAAGGCATGTTAGTTACAGATATAGAAAGACAAGAAAACGTTTGTGTTTGAGTGACTTTGGGTAAGATAAGTTTGTATGTGTACCAGATGTACAGCATGGTCGATTTCTTCTGTAGTAACCCCCACTTTCACCAACAAGGCAGAGATGTCCAGAACTTCTCGTGCAAGCTGCAAATAGCATACAGTTAAATTAAACAAAAAACTAACAATGCACACCATGGCAACATCATGAGAGCAGCAACAGTGAAGTGTTACCTTGCTCACTACCCTCATGCCTTCAATGTCCTCAGGACAAAGGGCCTTGATCTGTGATGTCCCTTTCAGAGACTGCTCGGACTCAGATATCCCTGAGGAAAGGAAACAAGGACAGACAATCAGGTATTTTGGAATATTGCAAACACAGGTTTATGATACACGTTTTGTTCAGCATGATAATATCCATATATTAACGGAATTTCATGTAAATGCAATCCGCAGAAGTAAAAATTATGCTATAAACTAACTAGTTCATGGTCGCACGGCTGCACATCACCACTGCTAAGATAAAAGCGGCTAACGTTTGGTGAGATGACGTTTAGTAGTCTCATTTGATTTTTTTTTAGCAACCACATAGAAGCTTCGGAAATTTCCCAATGGGGATTTTATTGACATATTTTACGTCGTTGAGCAAAACGTAAAAATCCCTTAAGGTTGTGTAAACCACAGACCTATTTCAGGCCACTAACCAAAAAGAAGTTCAAAAACCATTGACTTGAGCGAGGGCAACCAGAAGTGGTAATATGTTTACTCATTTCCAGATTTTAAGACTTATTCCTAAACCACTCTAGGACCTTGCTGCTGTAATTCAATCCTCTTTTAAAAGTAGAAGCAACTTGGACCATCACAGCCAGATTTTTTGTAATCTAGGGTTCCCCATTGAAAGTCGCTGAGTTGATCATCTCTGTTCCTCCCCGCAGGGAGAGAGGTCGCAGCCAGCTTTAAGTCAGAGGGCCGGTTAACGGAGAGAGGTGCTGTAAGGACACGACTGGAGATGCTAGCACCAGGGAGCGGTCCCAGAAGGGGATCCTCCCATACCGAGTATGTCACTTATGTGCCAAGATTATGAAGGAGAAAATAGTCGTATTGATTAACATTTTAAAACACTAACATACTACTCATTGATTTAGTTTTAAAATCATAAGTGACAGTTGATAATATGTCATTGTCTGAGAACTGGGTTTAACAAAATGTAAATGGTCAATTAGCGTTTGGCTTTGCATACATTGCTTATCCACACTTGTGATGTTTAAGCTATAAGATGAAACATTTTGAACATGAAAAGTTAAATAAATAGTGGATTTATAACAAAGAACAAAAGTCATAATACTAAGCGGAAATTAAATGACATTTCTCTAAATAAATTAAATATGAACTTAAAAAATGAAAAATGGCAAGAAGTATTTGAGACTCAAGATGTAAACGAATCCTATAATGAGTTTGTAATGATTTTCATGCAAAACATGAACGAATGTTGTCTATATATAAAAATTAAGATTTGCAAAAAGAATAATAATGACTCAAAACCCTGGTTCATTCATGGACTGAAAAACGCCTATTGTAAGAAAAATGCACTCTACAGGAAATGTTTGAAAAGTAAAAGCACTGCAGATGAAAGTCGTTATAAATTGTATAAAAACAAATTGACTACAATACTTAGAAACTGTGAAAAACGATACTTCTCTGAAAAATTTGAAAATGCCATAGGAGATATGAAAACCACTTGGAAGGTAATAAATAGTATAATTAAGAAGAACAGAAATGACAACAGAAATGAATTTAAGAAATTCCAAACCGAAGGAAAAACCCCAACAGATGTTGCAAATAGCTTTAATGAGTTCTTTACTGAAATTGGCCCCAATCTGGCGAGTAAAATCAGTCCAACTTCATGTAAAGTTGATGATTTTCTGAAAAATTGCAACAAACATAGAATGTTCTTGAACCCAATAACAGAAAAAGAACTGCTTGATATTGTCAATACTCAACACAGTAAACAGTCCAAAGATTATTTAGGACTTAGTATGAATATTGTTAAACAAGTTGTACCAAACATTGTAGCCCCCCTAGTAAATATATGCAATAAATCGTTCCAACAAGGTTTCCCCAATTAAATGAAAATTACGAAGGTGATTCCGGTTTTCAAATCTGGTGATAAATCAAGTCTTAATAACTATAGACCCATTTCTTTACTACCAACATTTTCAAAAATCTTGGAAAAAGTCTTCAACAACCGTCTGGAGTCATTCCTCAGCAAATGTAATATACTATGCCCAAGCAAATATGGATTTCAGAAAAATCACTCTACTTCTTCAGCAGTAATTGAACTGGTTGAATAAATTACCAACAACATTGAGAAAAAGATTATTACAGCTGGTATATTCATTGACCTTAAAAAGGCTTTTGATACTGTGAACCATACTATACTGCTACACAAATTAGAACATTATGGCATAAGGGGTCAAGCTAAATAATGGGTTAAGAGTTATCTGAGAAATAGGCTACAATATGTGGATATAGACGAAGCGAAATCAAACAAGCTTCCTATAATATGTGGAGTCCCACAAGGATCAATGTTAGGTCCAAAACTGTTTCTGATTTATATTAATGACATTATCAACACCTCTGACCTGTTAAAATTCATTTTATTTGCCGATGATACCACCATTCTCTGCTCCCATCATAATCTTGGCGATCTTGTTAAAATTGTGAATGCGGAATTAGAAATACTATGTAACTGGTTTGCAGTTAATAAATTATCCCTTAATGTGGCCAAAACAAATAACATGTTATTCAATACAAAGTCTGAGAGTAGAAATGACTGCATTATACGGATTTGCAATACCGAGATAGAAAAAGTTGGTGCATGTACATTTTTAGGACTGCTTGTTGACGAAAAACTCAACTAGAAGCACCATATCAATTATGTACAAACTAAACTGTCAAAACAATAGGTATTTTGTATCGTACTAAGAACATTCTGGAGGAACTCTTTATAACAGTCTATTTCTCCCTTACCTTTACTACTGCTCCGAAATATGGGGAAACACGTGCTCAACAAATCTACAAAAAATAATAACATCCCAAAAAAAAGTATTACGAATAGTCTGTGGTGTTGGTAAATATGAACATACAACTCCCATATTTAAAAAACTCAATCTATTAAAATGAGTTGACATAGTAAAGCTTAAAACAGTACTGATTATGCACAACATTTTCCATAACAAAATGCCTAATAACATTCAAAAGCAGTTCCAAACCACAGTCAGGAAATACCCAACTAGGCATCCTAACTGGTTGTGTAGCAAGCCCTGTAGAACAACCATCAAATCACACAGTTTATCCATAATCGGAGTTAGAACGTGGAATGGACTTCACCCAGACCTTTCAAGTATCACTTGTCATCAACAATTCAAAACTAAATACAAAAAATGTATATTTGTAGATTACTCCAGCTAACAAATATTGGGTATTCCCAGAATACATTTTTTTTTTTAGAAATAATAACTTCTCAGTTTGTTTATTTATTTAATATTGTTTACATGACTTTTTATTTATTTTTTCCTTCTTATTTATTTTCATCGTTATGCGGTTGAATTATTATTTCAGCCCTGGAAATTGCCTTGTAATATTTGTATTGGTGTATATGAGTGCATGTGTGTACTTGTACACCTGAACATATGGTGCTTATGTATATGTTGTGTATGTGTGAACATATGAATGTAAAAAAAAGTCACTTGAAAATAAGTGTCCACAATGTTTATATGCATATATTATTATATGCATATATTATTATTATTTATTTGCCAAGTACATGTGTACATATATATATTTTTATATATAGTATTTTCGTTTTCAAAAAAGATAGTCAACTGCTATTGACATGTGCAGAAAATGACCTTATATCTAGTTTTCATATATATATATATATATATATATATATATATATATATATATATATATATATATATATATATATATGCATTTATTTATTTTTTCCCTAGTTTTTCTTTATTTCTTTGTACTCCTTAATTTCTATACGCTTTTGACGCAATAATGCCAATGTTATATTAGGATGATTCACGGGAGGGCTACTTCCCATAAGGTATGCTTCAGCCCTCCCGCTTCTACTAATTTTGTTTATCTTTGTGTGTATGAATTATACTTTATTTCTTTTTTTGGATGAATTAGTAGAATAAATAAAAAGATTTCAAAAGATTTCCGACAAAAAAATCAAACTTGAAAATGGGAATTTGAAACATGTTCCGTTTGTTAATATCTGCATAAATACCACCCATTCAGGCTGCTAACTACTTCTCAAAATTGCCAGGAAAGGTAAAGCTTTGCCTTTTTGTTTGATTTTGTGTCACAGCTGTGGAACTCTTTGCTTTGAGATTGCTCTCGGCATACAACATTGTCTTTTAAATCCCTCATCTAAAATCGTCTCCAACTTAAGGCCTTTGTTATGCTCTATACATCGAAACATTCTTCTGTTATGGCATATTCTAACCAAAATAAAGGCTTCTTGCAACGCTACAGTACTGTTCCCTTTAAAGACACTCGTGTCAGTGCAGTCAGCAGCACATTTACTACCTGCATTTTCACTATAATTTAAACACAATATTTGTTTAACTGAAAAGCATAGCGGACAGTATTTAAAGGCACTGGAGTAATCAACAATTCACTGATGTATAATTTATCAACTCAAGATGATTGCTGGTTGAACAGTTGCCTAGCAACAACAGGTTTGTGTAGCAGTCAAAGACAGTGCTCTTCTTGACCTGCAGCGCTGACTTGAGTGCAGTGATCAATTAGACTTACTCACGCTTTGATACAGCCGCTCAGAAAACAGGAAAGGCATCAGAGACCCAAGAGTGAATGTTATAACGTCTTTATAATGGTAGGGTCCATTTCCTTATATGTTCATTAGATTACAAGTAATATCAAAGGTAAATTATATAAAATATTAACAGTTCTAGTATAGCTTTCAGCTCACCAACAGCACCGTGTTAAAAAAACATTAGCCTGCAACAATTGTGCTTTGGTCCCCGAGTAGGCATCCCAGGAGAATGAGAGGAGACTGTAACCATGACTACCTGAGTGTGGATCTATGCAGTCAGATATCATGGATGTAGAGGTTGCCATGGTTGCAAAATGAATGACTAGCCCATAGTAACAGGTGTAAATACACAAGGTTACAATGAGGTTATTAACACAGAAGATAAAACTGGTCATAAAAACTGAGTGTGACATCATGCCGGTTATTTAACCTGCGATGAAGCTAAAACCAATAATGGGAGATTGATGAGCTGTT